TATCGCGTCTGTCGAGGTCGATCTGTGATGTGTGATAGGGATTCTAGCTTATGTGAATGCATTTAATTTAATCTTACTATATATTATATTAATTTACGTCTCGACTCTGCGGAATCAAGGGCTCGTCAATGTACCCTAATTTCTGCCTAACGAAACAACATAACCCTATCAGTATGTCGTGTTTTACTATCGTATCCATACGACGTGGGGAACTCTATGCCCTCACTTTCCAAAGAGGAAATTTATTCGTTAGTCCGGTCCGTACACTTTGCATAGCAGTCTGTCAAAATGATTTTTTAAAAGAAATACTAAAAGTTTCAAAGAGATCTTCGCTCTAGAAGTATTCTAAAATGTGAAGAATACAAACCAGGGTGTACTAATTGACCCCAGGGCATACGGATAGGGTTGCGTTGTCAATTTAGCCTCTGCCCCCACACATGTAAGAGTCATTGGGGGGGAGGGAGTGGGGGGAGGGAGTGGGGGGAAGGGGGGTGGTGAATGTTACATTCGAATGCTCCGCCTCTTAAACAACCTTAGAGTTGATAGAGTCTTTAAACCTTCACAGTGACGAATCTTAGACATGTAAACGTCGTTATAATGTTATTATTTCGAGAAAAAAATCCCAGCCTAAATGGAGGTAATAGAAAGTGAAATCCGATCGTTTGTAGAAGTTTATTGTGTTTTTTTGGTTTTTGTAAAGTGTTTTACGGCGCTCGCAACTGCATTAGGTCATAATAATATGAGCGCGCGGGACACTCCTAATATTTTCAGTTGGTAGGACATTTTGAATTTTGCCCGGGTGGCGGCCGAAGCCTACTCTTATCGATTTTAGACCACCAAGGGATATTTAACGTGCGCAACTTGCACACGGGCCCTCCGAGATTGTATAAGTGAGTATTATGTTGGACCGGTGGTGGCAAGAACAGATTTGACTGTTATGGATACCCTCCGGTTGCGATAAAGATCTCTAAGAAGTGACCCGAACAAAAATGCGCATACGTCAATTTTAAGGGTAAAAAATCAGGGTACTAAACCCTTACAACAGTGCTTTCAGAATATATACCTATGAAATTAATCAAGTTAAATAAACATCCAAGATCATTCTCAAACTGTTTTATTTTTAAAAAGCAAATCAAGTTTTAAGAAAAAAGCCATACCTACAATTAAAAGTGAAAAAGAGATTAATTGGTAAGGTTAATGCAACTTAGTCTATTTTTCTATTCAACCCCTTATATTGATTCTGGTGGTTCAGATTTTAAAAAAGCACAGAAAAACATCCTCAATCCATTTGACAAAGAACATTGAGACCCTTCTGGGAACGACAAAACAACTGGATGTCACTCAGATTATAACTGAAAATATGTGACGACGTGGAAATGCCAGATAAGTTACAGTAACGGGGTTTTTTTTTAAGTGGAGAAAACGACAATTCAAAATTTGAAAGTCTTTATCTCAAAGATAGTATAGTATTTCTTTAACTTTACACAGCACAAGCTTTGCTAGGCTGACTTTGCGATCATTTGAGGAGGACTTTCGATTTTTTAAAGAATACTGCAAGGGAAAATTAAACAAATATATATTTTTAAAAAAAATTTTTGGTTTATTTTTTGGGGGGAAGGGGGATACATTTTTTGTTATTCTTTTATGTGACTCATCTGGTTTTTCCACTGGAATCTCCAAATAAATTCTTTTGGCGTTAGGGTATGGAGATTTGCCCAAGGACACACGCCGATGGCCATAATTTATCATGTAAAATCTGCCTCGAAGAAAAATTGATTTTGCATTATAAGTGCTCATGAAAACGAGGGATGGGAATGAAGTGGTGTCGGTGGTCTAGTGGTAAGGCTTTCGATCAAAAGGGCACATGTTCAAACCTCGTCAAAGATCAAGGTCCCAATGGTAATTCTTAGGGAAAAACATTATACTCGAATTTTCCTCTCTTCACCAACGTGGGAATAGATACCAGACCGCAGATCCTGTAAGTCTGCAAGTGTTGGAGCTCTTATTCGGAAGCTGGCACTTACTGTTTCCCGGGGAGGCGAGAATGTTTCTGTGTGTTGGTGTATCCGCAGCGGTAATAATGGTTGTAAGGCGCATAGATTAGATCATGCCCCAAAATTTATGTTATGTGTTAGCAAGTTTATAACATCCCAATTGAAAGAGCTCCAGATCTGGCCTACCATAGAAAAATGCATCCCCCTCGACTCATAACAGCAGCAGAGAAAGAAAAGCAAAAGTAAAGAAGTTAGCAAGCAGTGACAAGGAAATACAGTGTGGGCCTCGGCTACAACACGACCCGGGGACCAACGTGATGTCCCGGTTAGAGTTGTAAGGGGAATCAAATTTACATACACTGTTTTGTTGTTGATGTTGTGGCTGTTGTTTTGTTTGTTGGTTGTTGGGTTTTTTTGTAAGAGTTTTACGGCACTCGGAACTGCACAAGGTCATATGAGCGAGCGGGACACAGTATACATTTTGAATTTTGCCCGGGTGGCGCCTAAAGCCTACTTCAATCGATTTTGGACCACCAAGGGATTTTTAGCGTGCGCGACTTGCACACGGGACCTCCGAGATTTTTCGCCCTTGTCCGAGAAGGCTAGGTGTAGATCTTTTTTACCATAAGATATGGAGTATGGCTGAGAGATAGCAGCATGAAGGAGCCAAGGAGTAGCAGTAAAAAGGCTGCAGAAAAAGTCAGGAACCCTCAAGAGGGGGTGGGGGCAAAAAGTGGAGGAGAAAGCAGACGACAGAGTATTCTCCAAGAGCAGGAAATGATTTGAAAGGAGAAAATTTTAGAAAAGAACATTTTCCGTCGCTATCCACATTCAAACCCGTGACCTATTGAATGAGAGGCGTACACCTAAACCTCTTGGCCACGAGAGCTCCCACATACACTGTAACAAATGAGTATTCATTGTATGAGTATTCAGTGTTATCGCTTTAACTTATCGTACTTACGTTACTGTATCCTTCCTCTTGTACCTCTAAAGCGTCGAGGAGAGAAAGAGTTTTCTGTCTCCAGCAAGTTGGATGGCCAGGCTGGGTGGAATGTTGTACGTTTTCAAGGTATCCTTCACACTTTCGATTCAGGTCTACCTTGGTTTTCCTCTTGCCTTGTACCCTGATAATGTTTGTAGTTTACTTTACTAGCAGGCAGGTGAGGTGCCCCGCGTGTCATGTGTTCAAACCACCTGATTGTTTACCTCTGTATATCACTTTAAGAAGTATTAAAAAGATACCCTATACCAATTGATCAGTCATTACGTCTTACTTATTCAGTTAGAATTTTTTTTCTTGTATTTCTCTTTTCAGATAAGATAAGATGAGATAATACTTGATTATCCCCGAGAGAAATATTTCTTGGCTCTACAGGACAGTAAAAATACATAAAGATTTACATTTTGATATATTACTCTCGTTAGAATTCAATATGAAAAGAACTAAAGCTGACAAAATGTACATATCACATCAGATGCTTCATTCAACCGCATGTAATTACAAGACATTTGGAGTTATATAGATACATACTTTAAAGAGCAATACACATCTGTGCTTAATCTGACAATAGCCTTATTATGCTAGACGGAAAAAAAATTCTTTTATATCTTTCTTTCCTTGTCTTTAGAGGTACAAATCTGCCCCTGCGTGATCTGACAATTTGTGTGGAAAGGGAGTGTGTACCTGTGTCTTAGTCTGATGGAGGTTGACAAGACATATTTGAGATGCATGGGTAACAATAGTGCCTGCTTTTATATAACACATATCTCTGCTCTACAGCGTTTACTGCATGCTCTGGGCGTTTAACGACATTTCGTAATCGAGTTCTGTTGTCACCTTTGGGAAACGACCTAACACCTTGTGCCTACTTTTCATTCAATCATTTATTATCTCAACACGTCTCGCCAGCCCACATGGAGACAGTGTCACCATGTACTTGACCAAAGGCTGGATTTGCATCAACACCTAAAATGGGTCAACCCTCTCCGCTCCCCTCCTCTCCCTTTTCTGTACACACGGTTTAGTTTTTTAGAAGTGTTTTACGGCACTTGCAACAAAATAAGTTCATATAAATGCTGAAGATTAAAGGTGTTACAAGAGAGTAACAAACACAAAAATAAAGAAGGGGAGATAAAGACAATAGATGGTTAATAGGACTGAAGAAGCAACCCACACCAGAGCACCCGCCAACCACCCACTCGGTTTAGTTTTTTAAAGTGTTTTACGGCACTTGCAACACAATAATATCATTTAAGTGCAGGAGATTAATGGTTACAAGAGAGTAACAAACACAAAGAAGAAGAAGGTGAGATAAAGACAATAGATGTTTGATAGGACAGAAGAGGCAAACCACACCAGAGCACCCACCAACCACCCACCCTCACGGCTTAACACACGAAACCAAAAACCAGAATGAAGTTAGATCAACTGTGAGTCACTTACGTGCAATGCAACATCGGTGTTGGCTGCTGTTCTGCTTCTTTTCTTTGTTGGCGTGCTTTTTCTTTCTCTTCCTGTTTAAGGATTGTGCCTATAGTTGGACCACCGTTATCCGAGCATGTCTGTCAGAATGCGTAATTTTATAAAAGAACGTGTTTTCTAATCCTTATAAGAAACCAGACTCGAGGATTTATTGTGTGTCGGCTGCAGCTGTAATCCTGTTGTGACCGCCACTGGTATGAGTGGGACTCAGTTCAAATCCGTTTTCCTTTCCTTTTTTTTAGATGTAGGTTTTCATTTGTTGTGTGTTCTGTTTTAGCTTTGTGTCTGGGTGTGAATGTGTATGTGTGTGTGTGTGTGTGTGTGTGTGTGTGTGTGTGTGTGTGTGTGTGTGTTTGTGTGTGTTAGTGTGTGTGTGTTTGTGTGTGTTAGTGTGTGTGTGTGTGTGTGTGTGTGTGTGTGTGTCTTTGAACACATTTTAAAAGATTCATTCCTTTAACAATTTGTTAAGAACTCTTGAAATGTTGCGTTTTCTCATCCAGTCATTGAATTTTACATTTCAGGAGCAGTTTTTTTGAAGAGACGGAGACTCTACGTTTGGTGCACCGGATGACCGTCGAATCGACCCAAAGCCGTGAGGGGAACGATAGAAATCACTCAGACAAAGTTGAGTGACAAGAGAAAACTGCAGAAGACAGGGGCACTCTTCATTTTATCGCACCTCGCCTTTGTGATACGTTCACGCAACAAGCCACACGAACAAAAGGCCGTTATCAACGTTCTCCATCTCCGAGCCAGATCTTTTGCATTCTCATCATTACAAGCAATCCGTGTGTCTGGAGTCACAGTTTTGGCGAACTCCTATGGCCTACTCACCTCGTTTTAGTTGGGATTAACTAGTCTCAAGACACAGATACCAATTAAGTTGAGGTTGTTTTTTTTTCTCTCTTTGAAGGGGAAAAGTCAGAGAAGTATTTGTTGCTGCTGTTTCTTGCGATGAATAGACGACAGCTGGGTTTTTTTCTTCGATCGATAGAGTAAACAAAATGTAAAACCTTTTGGGACGACAGTGAAATAAACTTTACTGCTTGAGCCATTCACTTATATAGGAAGTAGCCAAACCTTTAACGGTTTGTGTCTATGCAGATTCCAAAGATGTGTTAAATAATCGATGCAGCTTTCTCTGTGAGAGCTTCTTGCTTTAGTATTCGATTTCAAAGGAGGTTCTTTTATTTTTTTGCTGTCTTCTTTTCTTCGCGATCAATTCACGTGAAATTGGAAATACATTCGTGGATATTCGTCAGTCAAACAGAATTGGAAACTTTGATTCCCAGCGACGATTTTACAACTGCATAGAAATTCCCCCCCGTACTCAACAATAAAGATGACGTCATTGCTGATATCGAATGTAACAAATGGGAGCATCCCTCTGCCCTCAGAGGAGAACCGTGTGCCTGAAGCGTCCAATCAGGACGCTTTGATCCTCACGAGGATCATTGTTCAGAAATTCTGTGTGCCTTTGGTGGTGTTTGTAGGAGTGGTCGGGAATTCCCTGAGCATTGTCGTGCTGACACGAAAGTGTATGAAGTCTTCAACTAATTCTTACCTCACGGCGCTGGCGATCTTTGACCTTCTTTATCTCGTCTTCAGTTGCTCTCTCAGCCTCACGCACTACGACGCTTTCAGGCGGTCCTACTCGTACGTCCATTGGTCACCTTGGTGTCACGTGTTTGCTGATATGTCCAGCAACGTCTCGGTGACCCTTACAGTAACCTTCACCTTGGAGAGGTACATAGGCGTATGCCATCCAATGAAAGGTAAAGCGTGTTTAGTCCTCATGAGGTAAATCTTCTCAATTGCCCCCCATCCCCCACCCCCGGTTAAACCCGCCACATTTGTCTCCTTTTCAACTTTCTTCTGCTCTGCAGTCATCATCATCATCAGCATCATATCATCATCATCATCATCATCATCATCATCATCATCATCATCATCATCATCATCATCATCATCATCATTTTCTTCTTCTTCTCCTTCTTCGTCGTCGTCGTTGTCGTTGCCAAAGCCTTTTGCAGTAACAAAAACATACCGATTTGAATATCAAGGTTTAGTAGACATTCAATATCTACGAATTTGTCTGGCATTTTGCCTCTAGGACTTTGTCAGGGACATAATAACTCACTCATCGATTACATTGCTATCGATGCTGTTATCAACCTGATTTTCAGCTCTATCATCTCATTCATGCTCCTATCGGGTCTGTTGAAATTTTGGAGACATTTTGTTATATAAGAAAATAGGCGTCTGTGCTGTAGTCAGTATGAGATTTGCTGTCACGCGCAGGGAACCCGAGATAAATTCAGGTGTTGGCACGGTACTTTTTATCAAGGACCTTAGAGTTTCTACTGACATGTCGTATTTCCCTTAGCCTGGATTGCCTCTACCAGGCAGGATCAATGCATGCCTCCTCAATGATCTAAAGTGTGTTGATAAGAGCGTGAAAAAGTCTCAAAATGAAAACATATCTGTAAAAGACATAGCCAGTATAAGAACTCGTTGTTTGTTTTTTGTTTGTTTGTTGTTTTGTTTTGTTCTTCATCTAAAAATCCGTTTGCAACAACTAAATTAATATCTGCAAAACATTTGTTTTCTTTTTTTTCTGCTGAACACTTCCTGGTTGGGGTCATGTCTACGATGCCAGATCATGTGGAGTTGCGACATACAGGGAACATTATGTTCCAGGCATCAAACAAGACTAATTAATAGCTGATGGATATCTTGCTTTCTTTTTCACTGATTCTTATCATATCTCCCTCGTTTGATGACATGATCATTTCGTATGGTGAAAAAATTGAAAATTTTCAGGTCAATTTCTTGCAATAGAAAATAATAATAATATTATCTTCTTCAGTTTGATGACTTTTTCTGCCTCTGTAGATAGGTAGCTAGCTAGATAGATAGATAGAAATAAAGATGGGTAGATATATAAATAGATAGATATATAGAAAGATAGACAGAGAGAGAGAGAGAGAGAGAGAGAGAGAGAGAGAGAAAGAGAGAGAGAGACAGAGACAGAGAGACAGAGACAGAGAGAGAGATTATGGAGTAGAGTATCAACGCATCTTGTTAGGGTAGGCATTTGTAGATATATTTGGCACTAGACCATGACTCAATAGACACATATTATATTTGTTTCTTGTTGATTTCATATGCACTGTATTGTGTCACACTGACATAACTTCAAACATGATTCTTGATTTTGTTTGTTTTGTTAAATGCAAATATTTTTACACCATCAACGCCATCAACGACGCATTTATGATCATTTTGGAGACAAGTTTCCACCAGTCAGGACATACCTGGAGTGAGAGGGATGAGACGCCCCAGTAGTAACACACACACACACACACACACACAC